GGGTGGAGTGAGGGGCTGGGGACATTGGGCTCTTCCGTGGGTGTCACTTTCGGCCTGAACCTGGTGGCCACCCGGGCACTAGAACTGGAAGGGAAGTCCTGTCTGGACTTGCTCTTTCTGTGAAACAACTTGGGGCTGGATGCTGTGGTGGGGAGGGAATCATATGGTTCCTTTTTGGTGGGTGTGGCTGGCTTGGAACCTGGCAGCAGATCAGAGTTAACCGGCAGCCCTGGTTTGGGCTCCAATTTGGTAGGGAAGAGTAGGCAGCCATCGTGGCGGCGGGCACTGCTGAGCTTGTCCACAGCCTGGCTGACCACGTGCTGCAGGGAGGGGAAGAGATGGTTCTCAGCCAGGAAGTCCAGGGTGCGATGCGGCTCACGGAGTGAGCAGTAGGCGGGCAGGTTGAAGGATGCCGGCTGGTTCAGTAATGACTTGATCTCCTTGTTGAATCCTCGCTTGAGGAAGGTCAGTTCCTGTTCTCCAGGCCCCAGCTCTGATGCTTCAGGTGTACCTGAGCTCGAGCCCAGCAGCCCTGAGAACCAGGACCGGGGATGCTCCCTGGTCCACTGGCTGCTGGTCTGGCTGTCCAGTGAATCCCACAGCAGAGAGTCTCTCCGGGAGCAGGACTGATTAAGTCCTTTCTGCAGAAAGAATGGGACTCTGAGAAGTGTCCAGGATCTGCCAAGCCAGGCCTGGATCTGGTCCTTGGCTCTGGGCTGGAGTCCATCCCTCCCAGCCCCAGCCATGGCCCCAGATCTCACCCCTTTGTTCTCCAGCTGCAGCAGCCACTTGAGGTTCTTCTCCAGCAGGAGTTTGTCCCTCACGGGTGGCAATGAGCCTAAGCCACGAGCACCCAGGTCACTGTCTCTGCTGTGGGAGCCCAGCCAGCCAGCTGTGAGGCTACTATGGAAGTCAGACATGGAACTGGAGCAGGATGGGTAGTTGTTGGAGCGCCCAGTGCAGAGACTGGGCCGAGCCCGGTGCCGGCGCACGGTGCTGAGGCTGGGCCGAGCACGCACCCGCCGGTCACGTCTCAGCACCTCCACTGGGTTCTGCACCTCCACCAACGGTACCCCGGCCTCTGTCTTCATGACAGCCATGCGTTCAGTCGCTTCCTCTACCACCGTCTGCAGGCTGTCCAGCACCTGACCTTCAGTCAAGAAATCCAGGAAGCTGCCAAAGGGCTGAGCACCCCTGGGGTTTCGGTGGTGGCTCTGGAGCACTGAGCTGCCATAAATTGATGGTGGGTGTGGCTCACGGCCCAGCTTGGAGTCTGGTCTCATTCCCGAGAACAGTGGCTTCTTGGGTGGCTGCACCTGAGCAGACAGGCATGTCACAGTGGGCAGAGATGCCCTATGTGGGAGGGGTCCCTGGGGTCCTCCTAAGGTGCCACTAGAGTGGGGAGTGCAATGGAAGGAAATGCATTTTAGAGTCAGGCAGCCCTGGGTTTGGACTATGGCTCCGCCACCTTCATGACGGCTCCTCTTGAGATCCAATTTCCTCATCTGCAAAGTGGCAATCTATTTAGGGTCTCCTTAAAGCTTCCCTGACACCTACATTTCACATACACAAGACCTGGCTGGGGAAAACTCGCTGTCTGAAAGCTCACTTCTGCCCTCACATAGGGTGTGAATGGGCAATCATGAAACCCCTCTGAGTCTCTGTAAGGCTCTTCATCTTTCCATGGAGCAGGCCAGCCCTGTTTCTGCTGCTGGGCTGCAGAGAACTGAGGTTCTGAGCCCTAAACTACCCATGGCTGCTTCTCCAACTTGAGCTGTGGGCCCTGAGCCCACTTCACGCTCTCACTCAGTCCACACAATCACTTCCCAGGTTGCTGGAAGTCAGGGGGACACAGGGAATGAAATTGAGGGTGATCAGAGCCCAGGAAAGGGTCAAAGCCTAGGTCAAGGCAATTAGGACTTGACTAAGAGATCCAGCGAGGTCAATAGGAAATGATTGCATAGAGCGTGGTGCTGATGATACCAAAGTCCGGGGTCTGATCCCTGTGCCAGCCAGCCACACACGCGCACGCGCACGCACACACACTCGCGCACAAAATAAAAATAGAAAGAGAAAGGGGGGCTGTGGCCTGGGGCGCCAGGGTTCGTGGGGAACAGGCTGGGGGCTCAAGGATAGGGGTCCTGCCGGGCACACCTACCCGCGCCACGTAAGTGCCGTGGCCGGCCTCGTCGTCGGCCAAGTATCCTGAGTGGTGGCGGCAGCTGGCCATGGTGCACGCGGCCAGGCTCTCTGCCCCGCTCCTCTCAAGTTCCGCAGCACAGCCGCGGACTCCTCTCTGCGCGGGGTAGGGAGACGGCGTGAGTCTCCGTCCGTCTGGCAGTGTGTCAGTGTCCCCAAGGTCCGCGGGTCCCTCACTCCCTGCACCCCGCGTCCTTCAAACGTCCAACCCTTCCTCTGCACGGAGTCCCCCAAGCGTCTGCGGGCCATGCGATTGTAAAGTCGTCGGGAGGGGCCCCCGATGACGTCTGCATGCTGTCTCCCGACTATCTCGGTCTGGTTGTGTCTGACCCTCTCTCTTCCCAGACCCACCGCGCCCTGGCGTCCGCCCCCGGCCCAGAACGGCCCTGCCCCCCTCACCAGACCCGGGCCTTGCTCCGCACGGCTCCGCGCAGTCAGCGCCCACCCGAGGGCGGCTGCACACTGAGCCGGGCAGCCTGGGGCCGCCTCACTTGCTCATTTGCATACCACATCCTGATTGGTCTGCAGTGGGTCCTCGCCCACTAGTTTCCCCGCCACAATGGTTGGGGGCGGGGCTCCTCCTCCAATTCGCTGGGCTCCGCCCCACCCACATTCGCCGGGGAGCTGGAGCCTGCGGATGCCGCTGGTCTGGCTCTGCCGGGCCAGGAAGAGCCCCGAAGCTGGGGCCGGGATCTGTGATCCCCACCAGCCCTGAGGAGAGCCTGAGAGCCAAAGCCACGGCCTCCACCGATAACACGAGAACCTTCCTCGGTGCCTCTCTGGTCGCTGTGTAGTCCTGGGCCTCCTGCTCTGACTGCTCCTTTCCGGGGCCCTCCGCCCCTCACCCAGTGTGGACGACCCGGGTTCCGTCTTGAGCCCTCTCTCCTCTGCAATCTCCCTGAGAGCAGTGGAAGAGTCCCGGCTCTAAGTCACAGACCTTGCTTCAATTCCTGGCTCTGCTGTTGCCTGCAGGTGTGACTCAACCTCTCCGTGCATCAGCTTGTCGTCTGTAAATGGAGTTGAGCGTCCTTCCACATGGGAATATGGGGATTAAATAAAATCTTCATACAACACACCTGATACCCCAATAGAAGCCCCATATAGCCTTACCTCCTCTCCTTTCCCCTCTGCCCAATAAACTCATCACACAGTACTCCACCAGAGTGTCACCTCCTCAGAGAAGCCTTCCCTGAAAGCCTGCTACCCCCAACAGAATTCACAGTAAACTCCATCCCAGACTCTTCCACACCACGGGTCTTATTTGACTACCAGATGGCACTCCCTTTGGACAGAAACTGAGGCAGTCATCCCTAATCTCTAATACTGCCAGTGCTTGGCACACAGTAGGTACTCAATAAATGTTAGTTCCCTCCTTCCAATCGGTGGACCCTCAGGGCCTCTGGCCTTTCCAGGATCAGCTTCCTAGTGGAGAATGGTGGTTGGCCGAGGTCCTATAACTCAACAATCCCTATGATTGAATACAACAGTCCTTTGGCTAAGAACTTAAAGGGTTCTATGAGGCCTCCAATCCTTACAATGCCCATGAGGTATTATTTGTTATTCTCAACCTCCACTCTGCCCTTTTTGCCTCTGATCTAGGGGACAGCCAGTTTCAAGACGACCAGAGCAGGCCTGGGTGTGGACCCAGAGCTGCCAGGGCCAGTCCCAGCTCCTCTACTCCTAGCAGAACCACCTTCTCCTCTCTAGCCTCCGTTGTCTCATACATAAAACAAGACATTACCAATCCCACAGGTTGGACACAAATACCACACTTTCCACATGAAAAATCAAGACAGCCACATTACAATGAAAACTCTGGCTGTCAACTCTGGTGACTATTTTTACGGTCATGGATAAGGAAAGCTTTTCTGAACCAAAGAGAAAAAAAGTGAAGTTATGAATGTAAAAGTTGTACCCTGGCAGGGAGCTCAAGAAGGAAGCTCAGCTCATGCCGGCCCATGGCTCACTCGGGAGAGTGCAGTGCTGATAACACCAAGGCCCCGGGTTCGGATCCTATATAGGGATGGCCGGTTTGCTCACTGGCTGAGCGTGGTGCTGACAACACCAAGCCAAGGGTTAAGATCCCCTTACTGGTCATCGTTAAAAAAAAAAAAAGAAACAGGGGCTAATGCTTTCTTCAATGATGGCATTGATATATTTGTTTTCCTTCATTTTCTTACAGTTTAGAGCTTTTACAAATGAAGAAAAAGCCTCCTATTAGAAAAATCAGCAAAGGACAAACAGGCAATTTGAAAAAGAAGAAATAAAAATAGGGAATAGTCACATAACGTGTTTGCCAATTCTAAAAAATAGCAAATAACATTAAAAAGTTCATAGGCAGTGCTATCTATCAAAAAAAGAAAAGTTACAAGAACGAGATAACACTGACGTGATCATCTTTGTCTTCTCAAAACAACATAAAAACTTTTGGGTGGAGGTGAAGAGGAACTGGGTCTGTTTATTTGCTTAGAGAAAATACTGGAAGGACACTACCCAGAAAGTTAACAGTGGTGATCTCTGGGAAGGGTAAGGGAGATTTTTTTTCTAGTTTTTTGGTTTGGTTTGGTTTGGTATTTTTCGTATTAAATATCACTTGCAGTCAAGGAAAGTTTTGCGTCGCAATAAATCGAGCCCTGGTCTGCTTAAGTCAGGAGCACAATCGGCGGGGTCGTTGCAGGGCCCCGCCGCGACCGCTAGGTGGCGAGAACAAAGGCGAAGTGCAGCCGCATCTGGGCGGGGGCGTCGGGGCGGGGCCTCGAGCAGCGTCCAAGGGCGGGGGCTGCACTGTCCAGCCCACTCCCCTCTGGTCTCCAGCGGTGGGCGGAGGCGGCCATGGCTGGGCCGCGGGTGTGGCTGGTGGTCACCGCGGACGACTTCGGTTACTGCCCACGACGTGATGAAGGCATCGTGGAGGCCTTCCTGGCCGGGACCGTGACCAGCGTGTCCCTGCTGGTAAACGGCGCGGCAGCTGAGAGCGCGGCAGAGCTGGCCCGCAGGTGAGGGTTGGCCCCTTACAGGGCGGGGGCGGGCTTGGGGCACCTCCGCCCCCGCCCGTGCTCCCGCTCGCGCTCTACTCGCAGGCACAGCATCCCCACGGGCCTCCACGCCAACCTGTCCGAGGGCCGCCCAGTGGGCCCGGCCCGCCACAGCACCTCGTCGCTGCTCAGCCCGGAAGGCTTCTTCCTCGGCAAGATGGGATTCCGAGAGGCGGTGGCGGCTGGAGACGTGGCTTTGCCCCAGGTGCGGAGGCGCGGCTGCAGGAGGATGCTCTCGATGACCCCCAAAGCCCCGCCCACAGGGTACCGTGAAGCCATTAGGGGCAGGAGCCGGTGCTGGACGCTTCCCTCATTCAAACACTGGAGCAGTCACACAGAGGCACAAGGACGGGATTCTCCGCGGTGGCTTTTTCCGGACGCTGAAGATGTCTATCCTCCTTTCTCCAGGTGCGGGAGGAGCTAGAGGCCCAACTAAGCCGCTTCTGGGAGTTGCTGGGTAGGGCCCCCACGCACGTGGACGGGCATCAGCACGTGCATGTGCTCCCAGGTGCGTGACGGGTTGGTGCTCCCGGGCAGGGCGGGGGTTAAGGGGAGGGTAGTCCTCCCAGGTGAGGGGATATGCTCCTCCCTTAGCCCTCTCCGCCCGCAGGCGTGTGCCAGGTGTTCGCCGAGGTGCTGCAGGCCTACGGGGTGCAATTCACGCGGCTGCCGCTGGAACGCGGTGTGGGCAGCTGCGCATGGCTGGAGGCCCCGGCGCGCGCCTTCGCCTGCGCCGTGGAGCGCGACTCCAGGGCCGCCGTGGGTTCCTTCTTGCGCCACGGCCTGCGGTGAGGTCCCCGCCCCTAATCCCTGCCCCCCGCAAAGGACCCAGTGTGTATGGCTGGCGGTTCACCTGGCTAGCTGTGTCGTTTCCCAACCTGGAAGCGGGTCAGGCGTCGACCAGCTTCCGCCACCCCAGTTCTGCCCAGCCCCGGCCTAGCCCTGCCCATCGCCAGGCCCCGCCGCTGATGCACTGGCACCCACAGGTGGACAGATGCCTTCGTGGGCCTGAGCACTTGTGGCCGCCACATGTCTGCTCACCGCGTGTGCGGGGCACTGGCGCGAGCCCTAGAAGGTATCCCAGCGGGCCACGCCCTGACAGTCGAGCTGATGGCGCACCCTGGCTACCCCAGTGTGCCTCCGGCCGGGGGCTGCGGTGAGGGCCCGGATGCTTTCTCCTGCTCTTGGGAACGGCTGCATGAGCTGCATATCCTCACTGCGCCCACGCTGCGGGCCCGGCTTGCCCAGGACGGGGTGCAGCTCTGTGCCTGGGACGACCTGGACTCCAAAAGACCCGGGGAGGGGAGGGGGTCCCCTGTGAGGTCACTCTGGAACCCTTCCTAGAGCCCTCCCCATCCTGACCCCTACAGACAACCAAGCACTAATGCCCCTTAGTGCCAAGAAAGGGGGCCAGGATCAAGCCCTGGCACAACCCAGAACCAGGCCCTGCAGCAGGCTCTGTGACGTGCCTGGGTGAGATGCTGCCACCTTTGTGCCCAGGTCCTCATGGCTCAGAGTGGCATCAGTGTGGCTGCAGGCAGACTCAGCCTGTGACACTGTGCCTAGGGCCTACAGAGCATTTGGTGCCCCTTCACGTTGCAGTGTAAACATCATTGTTTAGGGGCAGTGGGGAAGAAATGGCTATATTAATAAAATAAGTATGTCTTTCAAACTTGAGCGGTTTACAAAATGTGCTCAGGAGATCCTCATAGAAACAAGAACAGACACACAGCAACTCTCTCTTGGCCCAAACCAAGTCAATATTCCAGAAAAGATATGCAAAACATTCTGCACGTTCTGGTTTTGTTCATGCTTAGGTTTTCTTTATTCTTTTCGGGGGTGGGGTGGAAGATTGTCTCACGAAGCTTTGTTCTTGGAGGCACATTATAATCTCAATTTTGATTTAAAAGAAGTCACCTGTTCTAAGTAAGCCATGCTAGGGGACAGGTCTGAGGAGGTCCAGCAAGCTCACAGGAGTAAGCTTAAATTTTAACTGGAGGAGCAGTCTTCTGTGGAAATGGGATCCTGGGATTCCTAACTGGACCTGGTGATGTATGGATGCCCTGTAGACTGGGGATCCACGTGGCTTGGATCAAGGGTCCTGAGATGCAAGGAGCAGATGGCAGGTGGAACACCACATGGTCCTTCTACTTGTCTGATTTAATTTCATGTAATAGTCTATGAGGCAGGCACCAATGTCCCCATTTTACAGACCTAGAGGTGGGAGTGGCAGAGCAGGGCTTTGAACCTACTTGATCACTTATTTGATGTGCACTGGGCCCTAGCCTCTGCCAAGCATGGAATCAGGTGTCAAGAAAACTCTCACCTTGCCTTAGACAGCCTGGAGGGACATGCAGCTTTCTGAAGGTGAAGAGTGGGATCTCACTTCTTCCTTCCTCCACCCACCCATGCCCCATCCCCTTGACTGTAGTTTCAGCCCTTTTATCTGGCTCTACGCTCATCTTCCATCCTAACCTTCCCTTGACCTTGACTATTCCATCCAAAGCATCTTTCCTACTTCCATTCACTCATGTGTGTGAACTGGAATCACTGTAAGTTTGGTCCCTCCTGCTGCCTAACCTTCACCTTCTCCTCTCAGCCCACTATGGTCTCGCCACACTCCTACAGGCTGCTGGTTAGGGCTGGTAGCAGGGGTGGCCCAAAGGCAGCCCATTGGCACAGAGGCAGCTCCCTCGAGGGAGGTTCTGCTATGGACGTGTTTTGAGAGGAGGCAGCTGGCTGTGTGGCTCCAAGGCTGGGTGGGCAGGAGACTTGGGAGTCTGCATAGATGCTACTCTCACCCAGGGAGGGAAGAAGGGATAAGCAGAGATGAGAGTTGAGACCAGCCCTGGGGACCAGAAACATTTAAGAGTGGAGAGAAGTGAAGGGGGCATGGCCAGACTGGTAGGAGAATCACGTGACTGAACCCAAAGGAAGGGCAAGTAACAAGGATGACTTGTTGCAGGGGTAGTTACTGGTGGCCCACAGGGGCAGGCAGCAGCAGGGGTGTTTCTAATGCCAAAGCCCACTGTGCACTGGGTGGCTCAGGAAAGTGGTTTACTGTTATCCATACATTCAGCACTTATGGAGGGCCTGCTCTGTACCAGGCCAGGGCTGGGTGCCGGGCACAGCCTGGCCTACAAAGAGTTCACAGTCTGGCACATACACAGGGACAGTCAGTGTTATCTGGCCACACTGAAGGGAAAAGGAACCCACAGCAAAACGTGGGGCCAAAGGGGGGTTCCTAACCCAGCCAGCACTTGTCAGGGAATGCTCTCCAGAGGAAGTGACTTCCTTCCCTGGGCCTTGGTTATGGCCTCTGCACGATGGACAGTTCTTTCCACTCTGATCCTCTGAGCTTGCAGGGTTCCCCAGTAGTCATCTGCAAATAAGATCACGTTCCAGTTACCCGGGAAATGGCCATTTGTCAGGCATTGTGCTACAGGAGGAGTAGTCCCACCCTCGGCTCCACTTCCCCACACTGTACACAGGAAGCAGGGAGAGGAGAAAGAACTAGTGCAGGACAGGCCCGGAAGAAGGGAGACCAGCTCTGGCTCCTCCCTTGACTGGGTTAGATGGCCTGTTTGGGACATAGAGGCGCTGCCAAATGAAAGTAGGAGCCAGGCTGAGAGGCTGTCCACGCATGGATTTGGCAAAGAGCAAGTCCTGGGCCACTTGGCCAGAAGAGCATGAGGGGGCAGGAAGGTGACAGAAGCCAGGCCGCAGTGGGTATGAGAGTGGGTTTTTTTGTTTGTTTTGGCTGCTGGCCATTATAGGGATCTGTACCTTTGACCATAGATGCTTATTTCAAGCTGGATAATTAAGAGTGGAGGGGGAAGACCAGAAAATGGTGGCTCCAGAGGACAGGAAGTTAAGAGGTCTTACAGACCTCTGGCTTTGGGGAATGGGGGGGACTGTGGCTGTGTCTCAAGACAGCCCTTGGGAGGAACTATGCAGAGGGGTGGAATGCAAGAGGCTCTGGAGTCAGACTGTAAAAACACAGACCAGGTGCCCCTTGGCCATCACTGGGAGCTGTTTCCTCCTCTGTAAAAATAGGGATGGTGCCCACAGGGCTGTCTTGAGTCTCACAGAGGATAAAGCCCCAAGCGTGTGGCAGATGAAGCCTACTTATGATCAAAGGACAGGACAGTTCTCCTTTCTCCCTGGTAAAATGAACTTCAGGAAGCTTCTCTCCCCAAGACCTGCAGACCCAGCTGACAGTGCAGGCCTGGTCTCAGCTGGTGTCAAATTCCAGGCAGAAAACTCTGCCAAATCAAAAACTAAGCATCACGGGCCTGGCTGGGCCTTGCGCTGAGTCAGTGCTACTGCTGCAGTGCCTTGGCAGCCAGCTCTCATGGGGAATATGAGGTAGGTTTCTGGCCATTCAGGGCAATGGCCGAGCCCCACCTCAGGCACACCCTCATCACTCCTATGACTTTGATCAAGACAGCTACCCTCTAGGGGCCCCAGTTTTCACCTCTGCTAAACTTGGAACATGACATCACTCTCCTGGGGCTACAAGAAGACTGAAGAGATGCGCCCATCCATGGAAGTCTCTGTGCCCTCTTGAGACATCTATGGGGTCCCTCTGTAGGCCCCAATAGTGTGGACTCTCCAGCTTTTCCTGTTTTGATTATACCCCATCCACTCTCCTTCGGGGAGGCAGGAACACCCATGTGCTCCTCTTTTGGAGAGGATGGGAATGGGGAGAGATCAGAGGCCCCAGGACCTAAGCCCAAGCACCCATCTGCAGTCCCCAACAGCACAAGTCCCTGGCACTGCCCACCCCCAGTAAGGAAGAAACCCACACAACCAAACCAGTGTCGGAGAGCATTTTTATTAAGGGCAGCAGAACGGGATCGCAGCATCTTAGCCTATTCTCTGCCATAGGGGTGGGAGGGGAGGCAGTGGGAGGACCCGGCGCACTTCAAGGAACCAGGTGGCTGTGAATTCCTGAGTGAGCCCGGGTCAGTTGCAGGCGGCTGCTCCACAGCTCTCCCCTTCTTCAGAGGACCCAGCTTTTTGGTTTGGGAGCAGCCAGGGCTGCCTGCCAGCTTGCTTAAAGCCCTGAGGGCAGGGCAGGAAGGAGTAAGCTGCCCAGGCCCGAGAGGGGAACCACCCACTGACTGGGCAAACCATGGAGTGCCAGTGCCAGGGCTGAGAGTCCCTGAGGGGCTGCCAGCACAAAAGTATCCTCCCACAGTGAGCAGAGAGCAGTGAGGGGGTGACAGGCAGGCAGAGCTATGTTGGCAGAAATATGAAGCAATGGGACAGTTTTCAAGAATGGCAATATTTCTGGATTCAGAGAAGCAACAAGAACAAATGGTGGCTTGTCTGAACCGGTTCTGACAGAATTTGGCATTTTATTACAAATCTAAGTGTGAGTGAAATAAAATCCATCATCACCTTTCTGCTAATAAAGAGACAGATGTGGAAACACTGGCCCAGCGCTCTTGCCATCCTGGGCACTCGGAAGTCTCCAGAAACCTGCCCCTTGCATACCAGGAACCAAAGAAGCTGAATTCATTTTCATACCGCAGGGGCCACACACCTGGACAACTAAACAATGTTATGCTGGCTAACCTACCAATCACTTCCCACTTCTGCATGGGTGAAACCAAGCACGTCTGCAAGCCCCCAAAAGATTTTAAGTTACAGAAATAAGATTAAAACAAAGCAAAGTTTTGTTAAGTCATCTCCTCCACAGCATCTAGTCCCCCCAACAGCCAAGAAGGGAAGCCGCCTGTGGCAGAAGTGGTCAATGACACATGGTATTGGAATCATCGCCTTCCTCTGGTGTCAGAGTGAAATGTATTCTCTACTATTTCAGGGACAGTCCCACTTGCCTTGAAAAGACATTAACATTCAAATCCTTACAAGTTCATCTGCTGATAAATTCTAAGGTCAATTTTTATTTCTACAAAAAAGGCAGTCAAAACAATATAAAACACATTTAAAGGATATTACTGAGTGAGCTTCAAGTGGAGATTGACTCTGCAAAGGTTGTGAGTCCAAAGGGAGAGGGAAGGCCATCTTGTTCCCGGCTGGGCTGGCCGGCTGCTCCGAAGGAAGGGGCCAGCAGGGGCCCTGGTGACCCCCAACCAGTGCCGGTTCAACAGTCAAGTTCTGCCAATTCCAATCCCGCAAAGGGTCAAACAGTGCCAAGGGAGGGCTGTGGTGGGGCTGCTGCACTGAGGAGTTGGAGAGCGAACTCCGTGGCACATTCAGATGGAGCTTGGTGACGGATGAGCTTGGAATTTCAAATGAATATCCTGGCTTTAGCTTTGCCTGCAATGACCAGCAGATCTTCTAAGATGAGTGCCAACCTTTGGCCTCAGGAGCCTTTCTGGCAAGAAATTCATCACACAGGTGCACCGTGTCCTCTGGCTGACAGGCCCTACCTTCAGGATTACTGGACTTGTTATTGCAGGGTTTCCCTATGCAGGCCCAGCCAGGCCGCAGTTCAATCACACACACAGACATGGGGTTTATCCATGAAATCAACGTTATTGTGGTGACATTAGCCAGATTTTTCACACAAGAGCTGGGCCTCCCTTTTCACGGCTTTTTTTGGGGGGTGGGGTAGGGGTGGGTGTGTGGTTGTTGTTTGCTTATTTTTTAATTTTCAAAAAGGATATTATAAACTGGAGCCAAGAGAATTTGAACTAACTCCCACACCGGGCAGTGCAACGCGGGAGAGAAAAAGCTACTAGAGATGCCAGAGCCATCTCTTCTCCTTTGCGGAGCAGACGGGATCTGGGAGGTGAGCAAGTGAGAAATGAACTGAATGTGAGAAAGTGGGGCTGTGGGGACAGGGGAGGAAGGGAGACCACAACCTTTTTTTTTTCTTCCTTTTTGTTTTTTTTTAAACCTTATGGGCTAAATGTAACTTGAAGATTTTGGATAAATTTGGACAAGAAAAGAAACACCATTCTTTTGAAGTAGATTGAAGCAGTGATTTTTAAAACAAAGAAAGCAGAACTAGAACATCTTAAATTTTTAATCCTTTCTTTACAAGTTACCTAAACCACTTTTGATTAAGAAAACTGTAGAAAGTTAGTAACTGCCACAAGCGAACGCCAGGCGGTGGCACGTGTCAATTTTCCACAGAGTCCTGCTTTGCGGGGTGTCTGAATGCACTGCTTGGGGTCTCTGCTCACACTTGCTGGAATCAATCACGGCAGATTTTAGTCCACAGGTCGCTTTTCCCCATATTTCTTTGTAAACTCTTCAGCATTCTTACAGAATTTTTTACGGTCCTTAGAGTATTCTTCAGCTAGGTCAGCCCGAAGGGGGTGCTCGGGCTGGGGGTCGTTCACCAGTGCTATGAGGGACTGGATTACTGCCAAGAGAAGGACAAGGCATCAGGGGTTAGAATAGTTTCAGAAAGGGCACGGGGCAGGAGGCACTAATCCCAGGAATGACACTCTGACTTTAAAACTGATTTACAGCTAATGTGCTTTTAAGACAAAGCAGCCTATTTATCCAAAATTCTGACTGCCAGAACTCAACCTATCTTTCCTCTGTAATTAGGAGAAATTAAAGGACAACAAACAGCCAACACTACAGCAGACAACTATTCAGAATGATGCCCCCGCCTCCGGGAAGACTTCCTGACTTGACACCTGGGGACATCACGGCCCCTAGTTACTCCCACCCCTCTCATGTGCTCTGGAGATAGCAGACCTAGCACTGATACCCTCTCAATCTCACACACACATACAAGGTCACTTTCTCAGGAGAAGAACTGGGTGGCAGGTCCCTGCACCAGCCCAGCACTCAGCACTATGCTTAGCCCAGGCTAGTTTCAGACAAAAAGACTGAGTGAACACGAGAAAGAAGGGGTGCGTAACAGGGCTGCATTTGTCAATATGTAATGATCTCACCCTGGAAGACCCTTAGAAGCTTCTGAACCCATGAGAAAGGTCATTGGAGCACCCCATCCAGCCACTAGGAGGTTGACAACTGCCAGCTGCATCAGACTGTCAATCACATAAGGAGAAGTCATACCACGGCTCAGATGGGTGCCACAATACTCCCCCAAGGTGCCTTAAGTCCCAGATGTGCTAGAAGGCAAGCCCTGGGGTGGAAGGACTGTGGGGGAATGCAGGGTGGGATGGGAGATCATAAGCAGCGAGCACACAGCCACCCACGCCTCCCCACACCCACCTTTTAACCCCCCGTCAAGACAAGCACCTCTGGAAAACTGTGTTCCTTCCTACTGCCACGTTCCCAGCAAAAAGGTGCCTTTCCTGTCTGGATTGCTGATGCCAGAAATTCTTTTATTAGGGGCCCCAGCTTTTCACCCAGCATTACAAAGAATGCATTAAAATGCCCATGCTGGCTGAGTCACGCACAAAGGCATAACCAGTCAACAGCACCACACTGAGTGAGCATCACAGCACAAAGTACTCCTGGCCGGGCACCCAAAGACCATCTGCCCCCAATTCTGCCTATTAATGCTACCGGGTGAGGAGATGGCAAGAGAAGGCCCCTGTGACCACGGTGGGTCCAGGTGAGGCAGTGGGGCAAAGGCTAGGAGGGGACAGCACATGTAGAGCTGACAAGGTCCAGGCTGAGGGGAGAGGAAGGGTGGCTGGGCAAGAAGGGTGAACATGAAGAGAGAGAAGGGACGAAGGACTTGGAAGGCTCTCTGCAGGCCAGGGTAGTCTCTAATTCAACCTCCACACCCCCTCAGGGACAGACACTATCACATCCCCATACATACCATCTGTACTACCTCTAGAGGAAGCGAGCCCTGGAGGTACATTTTTATCTCTTTATTTGCAGATTCATTCCTTCCATATTTTATTGTTGCCTAACCAAGCAGAAATGATTATAAAGCCATTCTGTTCCTATTACCCCATCTTTGCCTAAACTTTTATTTGCGAAAGGTTTGCCAAGCTTCCCCCCCCCCCTTTTTTTACTGACCAGTAACGGGATCGCAACCCTCGGTGTCACGCCCGTACCGGGGACCGGCAACGGGATCACAACCCTCGGTATTGCGCCCGCACCGCGCTCAGCCAGTGAGCGGGAACCGGTCTCCACATGGGATCTGAACCCTCGGCGGGAGCACCGCCACGCTCCCAAGCAGCGCACTCTCCAGTGCGCCACCGGGCTGGCCCATAAATAAATATTTTTAAAAGGAAAGGAAATGTTAGTGACTCAATTAAAGTCACTTTCATTTGATGTAAACAGAGCACATGCATTAATAAACATTAAAATAAGCACCCAAGACTCCCTCCAGTCCAAACAGGACCAATCTCATATGGAGAACACACTCTTCCAAAGGACATTTCCACCACTTCTGCTTGTTGGCCAAAGTGCATTCCAGTGCATGCCAAGCTTTTCCATACCATGCTCAGATGTGAGACTATTCCTTTTTCCTTTGTTCTTGACTACTGGATTGAAAACCTGAACCACATTTGCCTGAGAGCATAAACAGGTGGCTTCCCACCCTTTTCCATAATTAGAAATGGTTCTGTAACAGGAGAATTACTGCCTCAGTGTTTCAGGAATCTCACTGGGCTAAGGGCCTGCCCAGTGCTATGTGGGGGACACATACAAGTTTCTGCTCACCCTCTGTTATGAATCCTCAGGCGCTCTACCCACTACCATCACCTTAGTACCTAATGTATTAATGTGTTAGTATAAAAATCATTTGTTAATTAACACCTGCTTTTCAAAAGATATTCACCTTGCAAGTTTGTTGTTTGTATATTTAAATCTTTTCCTGAGAACACACCTTTACTTATTTGATGAAGTCTAAATATTTTCAAATAGATTTAGTAGTTCTGATAAGTATTTCATTCTTTCTCCATTCCCCAGGGTGCACTGGCTCCTCAGCTAAACTATAATAAACTTCAGCCGTGCTGAACCTGTTTTGCTCGTGAGAACATCAATTGCTATGACTGCTTTTCAAACTACAACTGTGGCCCTATCCCCTCATTTTTCATATATAAGACAGAACACTCATTATATTCTACAGATGGTCTAGCCCTGGTTGTTTGGTTTTTTTGGCAGCTGGCCAGTATGGGGATCCAAACCCTTAACCTTGGTGTCATCAGCACCACGCACTAACCAAATGAGCTAACCAGCCAGCCCTAGCCCCGGTTACTTGATCTCTTCGTTGACCCAAATGCTCTTCTGAACTGTTTTTTCTGTCCAATGTAGAGGCTTAAAAAATACATAAAAATCTATTATGACCACAGAATAAAGCCTATAAAATTTCCTCTTTTTTGTTCTTACGGTTTTTTTGTAATACAGGATGTAAACGGTATTTATAATTTTCCCTCCTTTTCACAGAAATTCAGAGTTCCATTTTCACAGAATGAAATGTGAATGGTACGTACCCCCACCTCTGAAGATGTGCAATGCTGCAGCCTTCCATGGAATATGCTAAAAAAAATGTAATTAACCTCAACCTGTTGATTACATTGTTGAGTCCTTTCTTAATTTTATCTCCTTGATTTGCTATAAGATGATAGTGTATGGGGGATTGAAACGTTCAATTTATAAATGTGTTTGATTTTTCTCTTCATATAATTTTGTTGTTATGTTGTTTGTTACCTACAGATTCAGTATTAAGCTGGCTTTATTACTAAGTGTACTTTATATGGCAAATCTCATTCAATCACCAAACTAAATCCTTGTTATGCTGCTAAGATATCTACTAGAACCAAACACTGCTAAACAAAACTATTTTTACATTCTTCTTCTGGTATCACCCTTTTTTGGGTGTGTCGGGGGGAAGGGCGGCTGGTATAGGGATTGAACCCTGGACCTTGGTGTCATCAGCACCACACTATCCAACTGAGCTAACCAGTCAGCCCTGGTATCACCCTTTCTGTTGGATACAGTTTTGCCTTATTTCTAGACTTTTCTCATGCCATTTTTCCTGAATGTTTGATGCTTCTTTACTGTCTTTCATTTTTTGAAATTGAGATATAATCACATCAAAAAATAAAACCTTCTGGAGGCATACAGTTGTTTTTAGTATATTCACAAAGTTGTGTGACATCACCATTATTTAATTCCAGAACATTCTCATCACACCCCCCCCAAATCCACTCTCATTAGCAGCAGTCACTTGCTATTCTCCTTCCCCCAACAACCACTAATCCACTTTGTCATCCCATATATAGCTGAATCTTGTTATTTGCAGTCACCCTGTTCTACAAATGTGCTGTGAACACTGAATTAACGATACTGAATCATTGCTCCTAGGGGAAATATAGGGTTAGGTTCCTGCAAGCTCACAACATTTTCATCAACTGATAAATACACCTTATTTTATGTGTTTAAATAAATATTCCTGGGCCGGCCCGGTGGCGCACTGCTACAGTGCACCGCTTGGGAGCGCGGCAGCGCTCCTGCCGAGGGGTCGGATCCCACATACAGACCGGCCGCTCACTGGCTGAGCGAGGTGCGGGCGCAACACCGAGGGTTGTGATCCCGTTGCCGGTCCCGGTCCGGTACGGGTGCGACACTGAGGGTTGCGATCCGTTGCCGGTCACGAAAAAAGACAAAAAGGAAAATAAATAAATAAATATTCCTTATTTAATATGTAATATTGATTCAGTAACAATGAATTTATGGCCAACAGCACTATAACTCATGCCTGAATGAAGCTTATCTAAAACATGTATTTACTTCATAGGGCATATCACAGCCTTCTTGTGCTTAGGAACATTAGAAAGCACTTTAGCACTATTTTTAGGGGCCATCTTAAAAAGCGAAACTACCAACAAAATATACAAAAAATGCAAGAAACGTGGCACTAAAGAGACTTGCTTACAGTATGAGAGCTAAAACAAGAAGGCAGAGCATTGGGGTAGTTCTCCCTCATGACCTCAGCTGGGAACGTGCACATAGGGTGACAAATTTTTCACTGCTCTGCACATGTCTGTGATTGACTTTTAGTAAGTAAGCCAATTTGCAAATACAGAATCTATGAACAATGAGGCTCAACTATAAATGGAATCATACGATATGTGGTCTTTTGTGATTGTTTCTTTGATTTAGCATAATTTTCAAGGTTCATACATATGTTGTAGCATGAATCAGTACTTCATTTCTTTTCATGTCTGAATAATATTGCATTGTATGGATATACCTCATTTTGTTTATCCATTCACCAATTGATGGGTCTTTGAGTTATTGCCACTTCTTGGCTATTGTGAATAATGCTGTTGTGAACATTCATGTACAAGTTTTTATGGACTTATGTTTTCATTTCTCTTGGGTATATACAGCTAAGAGTGAAATTGCTGGATTATGTGAGTATCTTTTCATGTTAGTTACTAACTCTTCCATTATGCTTAATTTTATATTTTAAGTACATTTCAACTCTATTGTTGACAATCTTAACGTTTATAATTCTCAACACCTATCTATTAAAATACTATTTGGGGACTTTTTAGATAGGGTAACCCTGAACTGGAAATGTAGCTGGTCTAAGGAAAGGCTTTACTTGTGGATGGTTGAAGTAAGCTAGAGGTCATGAGCTGAGGTGGTCAAAGAACTTCAAGGTGTATCTGAGAGGAGCCATCAAGGTGAATGATGAAGTTTCTAAGGACAAGCACAGGAGAAGAAAATCATAAGCACATGCAATAATATAAGGACAGTGGCAGAGTGCTGGAGGGAGATTAAAGCAAGAGGTTGGCACGAGTGTCTCATGTACTTCACGTTCAGGAAATGAACAGCAAGGCATTTAAAAAAGCAGACTTTGTAGAATGGTGGTAGTTGAACAGCAGTCAGGAAATAGAGCCAGAAAAACAGGGACACCCAACATATCATGAATCAGTCAAGTGGGTGCAACAGCGTCATATCCAGGAGAGCCACCACTGGAGACAAGTGGGCCCAAGTAGGCTGGAGGAGCCAGCAAGAGGACTCAGTGTCACTGCCCACCCATTCTGCCTCTGTAATCATCTTTACTATCCTGCACGCTCCTGTGCAGAGTTGCCACACCTCCCATCAAGAAGCAAAGTCTATTTTCCATCTCCTTGAATCTGTACTTGCTTAACCAACAGAATCCAGTATAAGTGACAATGTACCAGTTCTGCACCTGAGCCTTAAGTGGCCTGGCAGCTTCTGCTTTCTCCCTGGAACCTGAGATTGCCATGCTATGAGGAGGTCCAATCTAGACTCATGGAGAATGAGAGGCCACAAAGAGGACTGAGATGCCCCCGCTAACACCAACTGCCACACACGAATGACACCCACCAGCCCATTTCAGCCCCAGTTGAGCTCTCAGCTCAATACAGCTGCATGAGTGACCCCAGGAATGACCAGAACCACCGAGCTGAGTCCAGCCAACCTACAAAATGGGCAATAATAAATTCTTTAAGCCACTAAGTTTGATGTGGGTTGTAATGCAGTAACAGATAACAGAAACATGGGAATGTGGCATCAAGTGTTAGGGACAACATTCCTGACGTATGTGAGGATGGGATCAAGGCCATGCCATGAAGGACCTACAGAAAATTTCCTAGGAAGAAATCCTAAATCACAAAATGGCAATTCTGCCTATCACTGCACACAGAACAGCACCTGTACCAAAAGTCTTACCTTAGAAAACACAAGTCAATAAGTATCTTTTACAAAAAATGAAAAGCCACCCCTAGGTTATCTGGCTCTCTGAAAAAAGCAGCCACACCTGAAGAGGCAGAGCATTTTGGCTATGCACCTAGAAGTGAAGCTAAAAACCAGAATAATCCTGCCATAGCCCTCTATTCAGCAGCCCTGCGAAAGGAGGCAAAGCACTTGCATTCCTCTCCTGCAAGCCTCCACCCCCCCAGCTCTCAGATATAGGAAGAGACCCTGAATTCTGACCTTGAACTCTTTGTAGCCAAAGTCTGAGATGTGCAGCTTTCCTGGGCAGGCTGGTGTAGAAGGATTTCCCCTCCCCAGGCACGTGGGTGAATAGGGACACAACCCAGCAAGGACTCTTGGGAGTTATATGAGTGCTGACAAGATGCTCCTAAACAAACGGAGCTATAGGCTTCCCATAAAGAGCTAGTAATTTGTACAGAAAAAAACCAGGCTATGTGCACTGAGAACAACTGTGTTAAGCTTTTATAAACACCAGCTTGTACACAACCAAGTGCCAAACCCACTGGAAATCTTCCTCCTCTGACAGTGTTTAGCACCAGCTCCTCTCTACTACTCCACTGTGGGAACCCAGTGAACACCTTTCATGGTGATTATCTCCAATGAGTGAGGCTCGATTTTTCTTGTGAAAGGCTCTGAACTCCATCTTCCAGGGCTTCCATTGAAAAATGACTATCTCAAAACTCCACCTGCAGCCTTTCAAATGCCAGTTTCATCCACTCTCTAATCTAAACATATCTTGTATTGGTTCAGTTACTTACTTATAAGAAAGCCACCAAAAATACAAGATGAGGACTTCAAAAGAAAGTCTGGAATTAAGTAAAAACTGTATGTGGTCCATAACAAAGTCTAGTTATTTCCAGGGGACTAGAGGGAGGGAACCACAATACTGAATCAAACACTTTTCTCAGACAAATGAGTGTGTGTATGTTCACACAGACACACCCTGACACACCCATTCCAGGGAGTTCTAGGCCCACTAAAGCCAACTGTGTGCTTTCATCTTGAAACCTCTCCCTCGAGTCTGGCTCAGATCCTCCCCCACATCACCCGTTCTGAGGCACTGGTCTTTGGTTCATGCCCTTCTTTCAGCCTGGAAGACCCTCTCCAACCTCCCTTCTTCCTTCATGTGTGAGTTCAGGGGCTAATTGCTGCGTGAGTCCATGTTAAACACTGCTCTTCCTTCCCATCTAGGCAGCCCCACGATCCTTCATCACTTCCAGGGCAGTGCCCACATCCCCTTCACTGCAACACAGCAAACCGCTTGGCTCATCTGTCTATGTTTGTCCCCACTGGGTTGAGCACAGGAAGGGTCTCCTCAGTCCCTCAATTGAACAGGTCAACAGTTCAATTCATCATTATTTCTGCATGCACTTGAGTTGGTAATGGAGAATTTCTCTGGACTCTGACATGGCATTAGAAGGGACCCAAGATCCCCTACCCTGCAGCAGCGTCCCCAGAAGAGCCCTATCTAAGGAAGACATAAGGAGCACACCTTACCTTGGTCGGTTTTGGTTGCTGGCTTCCAGTTTTCAGCACTAATTACTGGCAGACAGACCTGCCCCTTTTCATCGATGTTCGGATGATATATCTTTGTTTTAAATGTGATCTTCGGTGGTTTGAATGGGTACTCTGCGGGAAAGTTGATTTCGATTCTGAAGGCCCCCTTATCGTATGGAGGGTTGTCCTGAAAGAAATAGAGTAATCAAATGAACACATTGCAGTTTACAAACCTGTGGCTAAGACAGGAATGTTCCCATTGTTTACTTGAAAAATTAATTTATTTCAAGTGGTACGTCAAAGAAGCCCTGTCACCCTCAGGGTAACCCAACAGTAAATCAGTTTCTAGAGCAAGGTATCAGATAAGCCATGAAAAGGTCTGAGATTGAAGTCCTGGTCTCTTTATGCTTTTCTCTTTTCTTTCTTTTTTTTTTTTCTTTGACAGACTTTTATTTATTTATTTTATTTTTGGTGTTGTCAGCACCACGCTCTCCCAAGGGAGCCACCGGCCGGCACTCACACTGATGTTTTCAGTTTGAACCATATTTCACTAAACTGTTTATCTGTTGCTCTAATACAAGAGCAAACTCAGTTTTATCATTTGGGTCACCAGCTTTCTTTCCACTTTTATATACAACACTGTATGATTATACCACAACTCATCTATGTATGCACTGATAGACATTTGGATTAGTTCCATCTTTTTGCTGCATAAATAGCGCTGCTATACACATCACTGAACTTGTTTCTTGTGCAGAAGTTTCATCAGGGAATACAACCAGGAAAGGAACTGCTGGATCACAGGTATATGAACATTCAGCTGTAAGAGATAATGCTAAATTGTTTTCCAAAGTGGTTATAGTGATTTACACCCCTATGAGCAGTGAATAAATGTTCCAGTTGTTCCAAATCCTATCCAATATTTGATATTGTCTTTTTTTATTTTTGCCAGTCTGGAA